ACTCCCAGCACTGCAGATGCGAAGCTAGTGTATATGCATGTGTGTGCAAGGAGACGAGGGAAGGGAGGCTAGTGTATGTGCACGTGTGTGCAAGGAGAYGAGGGAAGGGAGGCTAGTGTATGTGCACGTGTGTGCAAGGAGATGAGGGAAGGGAGGCTAGTGTATGTGCACGTGTGTGCAAGGAGACAGGAAGGGAGAGGAAACTCCAGCAGACGCCTGGCTAGCTGACCGAATGTCCTGCCCTGAATGTGCCTTCTTGGTGGCCCAATGGCACGTTTTATATGCACACCTTATCACCAAAAAACAAACAGACAAAAAAACAAACCGTGAGAAAATCAAAACAACTTCAAGGAACGCGTCTCAGGGAGGAGGGGAGCATCTCTCCTTGCCGCAGGCTCCGGGCCTTGGCCTCTACCACGTGGTGCAGGAACCACTTGGACTGTTTTAAAAGGTGTCACCATGGTTATGCGTCCTCTGCCAGGRGCACAGCTGGTCCCTGGCAGGGCAGCGAGCTGGGGAAAGCTGGGGATGGGGACATGGAAGGGGAGCCCTTCCGACTTCCTGAGGGCCTTGGGGCCTGTCCCCGGCCACTTCCTCTGGCCTCTCTTCCTCAGCCATGTTGCCTGAGCAGGTTCTCTGCAGTTGTGGGAGAGGGAGGGACGTGGCACGCAGCCCCTGACTCCTCCCGCAGCCTCTGCTCCTGCCTGGGTGTTCTGACCCTGCCACTGATCAGGGTCCTCCCATGAGTGGATGCTCTCTTTCCATGCTCTGCGTAAATGTTCCTAACAGTGGGCCTCCACGTGGGTGGTGTTATGTCCATTTGACAAGTGGCCCCGGAGGCCAGTGGCTTGCAGGCTGCCTACCCAGGTACAGCCAGAGGCTGAGCTGGGATCCAGATTTGACCTGTGGATCTCTGAAGTCCACCCTCCCCGTGGTCCTGGGTAGGCCTCTCCTCTTTCTTTAGTTGTAGGATAAAACCGGGCGAAACCAAGAGGAAGGTGTTGGGGTCTGTGGGCATCTCCTGGGAAGCTCTGAGAGGCACAGGGAGCTCCACCTTACTGCCAGCCACGTCTAGGTCCCATGTGCGGAGGGACACGGGGCTGAGCCCCTTGTCTAGACCAGGCTCTGCAGACTTGAACACGTGTCCACATCACCTGCACCTTGGGTCCGAGTGTAGATCCCCCTCAGTAGGTCTGGTGCGGGTGGACGCTGCGCTCCTAAGCGGCTCCTGGGTGATGCTGAGGTGCCCAGGGGACGACACCTTGTGCARAGAGGATCTGAACGAGCTCTAGGTGAGCGGCTCCTGTGGATGCTGTGGCRATGCAGGAAGCAGGTCTAAGGCACAGGTGTTCCCTGCACCCGAGACCCTGCCCACCCGCATCTGTGACGTACAGCAGCATTTCTATTGGTGGTGAGAATGTGTGAAAGCCTGACCTGACGACCTTGGGCCGTGAGATCTGGTGCAGGGCTGTGGACTCCGTGAGGAGTTCCTGTCCAGCTCTGCCACAGTGGACAGGCTCCTTCCACTGAGGCCTTGGCTTTCTCCACTCCATAATGGGGAACGTGAACCCCGACCTCACTGGGAGGACTGAACAGGTTCACCCAAAGCCCAGGAGCACCCAGGCTCTCAGCGCATGTTGATGGCCCTGACCTCAGCGGACTTTGAAGCTCATCTCAGGCCCCAGCTCCTTGCAGGCTGGAGGGCCATGTGCTGGGCAGGGTCTGCTGGAGTCTGACACCAGGTGCCTGACCACAGAGGAGAAGTCAAGGCCCGGAGCCCTCACCAGAGATTCTGTCCTTGCTGAAGGGGTGAGGGGCAGAGGAGCCGGCTGTGACCTCCCTCTCCGCTCCACTAGATGATCTCTTTTCCCTACCTACCTGCGGCTATTTCCCCAGTGACTTTTGGCACCAAAACAGAGAATGTTAAGTCTTAGGATATTGATTTAAGTGCTGCTTTGAGACAAGGTCATTAGTAGTAGTTTGTTCAGTCAGATCTTAGTTCRGTGCTTGGTGCCAGAGGTCCGGGGCTGCACGGAGACCTCACCGTCTACTATCAGGTGTTGAGCAGATGGATGTGGTGGCTGTTGTGCTGAGCGCCGCTGGAGAACAGGCTGTCTGACCCGGGTGTGAGGAGCTGAGATGCCTGGGACTCTACTCAAGGGCTTTCTGATGGCCTGCATCCCATGCACTGGAGCAGGAGGGCAAGTGCTAGGGGCTCTGATGTGGTCTGGACCCAGGTGGGGGCAGTGAGCGTGGGGGAGAAGTTGGCGGGTCCTGGAGGGGAGCGGGGTCCCTCTATTTCCCGGATTATGAATTGGTGCCTGGCACGTCATAATCCCGCCTTTTTCTCAGTACAGAAGACACCATGCGTCACCATGCATCAGCCTAGACTATTCCAGCCAGCTGCGGGGTTTTGAGGCAGCGACTTCCCCTTTTATAGAGCTTCTGATTCCTCAAATGGCAGTGGGAGTGTGCGTTGGGGTCAGTGGGATCCCAAGCTGTTCCTGCCTCGCCATCTGGGGACTCCCGACCACAGTATTAGCAGAAGGAGATTTTAAGCTTCGAGTAAGCAGCAGAAGCAGAAGGGTCAATGATAGGGAAGGATCTCCCATCCTTGAAGCATCTGTGCCCCTTTCACAGGGTAGTGGAGTCACAATCACCCTGTTATAGTGGCAGAGGCCATATGGATCAGGAACCCCTTAGGACACAGCCACAAAGCAGACTTGGTCTCTGGGACAGGCCCAGCCAGGGAAGCAGAGAGGTGGCTCACCTGCTGGCGCTGCGGACACACGATAGGTCAAGTGTCCGGTTCTGGGGACACTGACTGGACACACAACTCAACTTTCAATGGCTTGATGTCTCCAGAAATTAGCTAGCACTGAAGTATGAGCATCTAGAAAGCAAACCTCCTGAATTTGTAAGTCAGGAAACAGGACCAGAGGCCAGCTGGCAGGCTTGGAGTCAGTCCCGTGGCTGGCTACCTGGAAGTCCCAAAGCCTGAAGGGGTCTGTGCAGGGACAGTTTCCTCAGGAGGGTCCCTGGAGTTGTGGCACAAGGCAGTTGCTGATGCTGTCAAGCAGACTTGTGGCCAGGAGCTGGGGTGCCCTGGATGACCGCAGGTGCTTCCTGAAGGGGCCCCCCCTGGGGACAGGGGCCTCAGTGGCTCTTCTCTGAAGTCTCTTAGCATTTCCACGGGGCAGTTCACCCTGAGGAGTGTCCCCTCTCAGTCCTCCAGTCTTTGGGACTCAGGGAGAAGACTGATTCTTCCCCTCCAGGAACTGGGAACCCGTTCTCAAGGTCGGTTGGTTTTTAAAGAATTGATGACTGTCCACATTTTGTCCTGGGGTCCTCTGAGCTACTTTTTTCCTTTAAAATGACTCCAGCATCACAAGACAGGTTGAATCTACCATCTTGTTTGAGCAGCCAGACTTTTATCAAATTAGAATATTGAACGAGGACAGGAAGGGGGAAGAGATTTTCATTGTTTCATTTTTTAGAAACATGATACTTATGTGAATCACGTGACCAGTTTTGACAAAAGCCTCTTTAGGTTTAAAAGTGCATTTGCAATTAAAACTATATAAAAATAGCACATAAATTCACATACTTTTTTTTTTCACTTCCTTTTAAAACAGGGAATAACCTAGGGATTTTTTTTTGTGTTTTCTGGCAGAAACTTCAGGTTTTTCAAGGAGGTCAGAGAGTGAAGGTCAAGACTGATGACTTCTGGGGACAGGTTAAAGGGAGCTACATCGAGCTGGGCTGCTCCCGTGTGGGAAGCTCTGGAGACGCTGAATGGGTGTGAATGGGCGTCGAGAGGCTGGACACAGGTCCTTCTGCCACCTGTGCCCTGTGGCACCCTCATGGTTCCTCTGGGGGCTGAAGGATCTCGCCTTCGGTGCTCTCTCCCTCCTCAGGGTCTCTGTTCAGAGCTGTGCCCTTTGGGGCATTGCTGACCCTCATTCGCAATTTCCACCATCCCATGTGACCAGGAGGGGAGCCGTGGACACACGGACGCTGTGGCCTGCTGGCTTTCACTCGCCCTGCTGCTGGGGCCCAGGTGGGTGCTGGACGCCATCTGGGAGCAGCCCTGCGGGGGTCGGTGTCCACTGCTCCAGGGTCCTCCAGGATTGAGATGTGCCTCTCCTGGTAGTCACGGCTGTGGCTGTATCCTAYGGACCTGGACCTATGGCCCATAACTGTGACTAGCAGCCTGCAGTCACCGCAGCGCTCCCCTCCTGCCAGATCCCTAGGCTGCCTGAGACTCAATGCAGCAGTACAGTTGGAAAACAGCTCCAAGCCACGTTCCTGCCTGGTGCCGTCCMGATGACCCCAGGCCACCGAGGTAGGCAGTTGGAAGTCCCTGTGTAGCATTCGGGACTCTTTTGAATTCTTTTGAGAGTTCAGGGCTGGACTGAGGGAGTGTGATCGTCACTGTTGGCATCAGCCTGGCCCTGGGCATCAGCCCAGCCTCTTCCTCTGACTCTGGACACCGAGAGCCCTACTCTTCTTGCATGAGAGCCGGCAGTCAGAGAATGCAGTCCTGAGGAGACCCGCAGCACCATGTCGGCCCATAGCACAGAGATGTAGGTTGGACCTGCACCATGACCTTGAGACATGGCTGCTTCCTCCCATGGAAACAGGGACACTCCAATCCTAGAGGTGGTAGTGAAGCTTCTGGCACCTGCACACAGTAGGAGCTCAATAAACACCTATTGCTCAACCAGGAAAATGAAGCACAACATTCATTTTTGAAAAATATTTATTAAAAAACTAAAATGAATGTGGCAAAAAAAAAAAAACCCAAAACAAAACAACCATACAACCAACACATACCTATAAATAGCAAGCATAAGACCCGGTGGTAGCACTTTCCAACCGCAGACCTAGTCTTTCAACCAGCTAGTCTAGGAAGGAGGCAGAGGGAAGCCGGGTGTGTGTGTGTGTGTGTGTGTGTGTGTGTGAGAGAGAGAGAGAGAGAGAGAGAGAGAGAGAGAGAGAGAGGAGAGAGAGAAAGAAGGGGAGGAGGAGGGAGGGTCATTTGCACTAGTGGTGAGTGGAAAGTGAGAACTACCAACGGCAATGACCTGCTTTCCTCCAGGATGCCCAACCTGGGGTCAGGAGGGGACTCCTGTGGCCTGTCCTGGCTTTAATTGGTGGTGGGGGCTGAAACAGTAAAAAGACAGGCAGCATCAGGAGAGGGCAACCTTAAAGCACCTTTAAAATATGGACCCTTCTGTGATTCGAGCCAGTAATTCTCAAACTTAATTGTTGAAAAGAACCACCCGGGGAGACTGAGAGCTCAGGGACCTCCAAACCTGCATTTCTAGGACAGTCCTCCCAGGGATCCCGGGATTCCACCTAGACTGGTCAGTCCTCCCAGGGATCCCGGGATTCCACCTAGATTGGTCAGTCCTCCGGGTTGAGAGATGCTGTTGAAAATGTGAAAATGCATTAAGACATTTCCTGTCCCCTAAAAGCACAAGGGGTCTGCTGACCATCCCCCAGCTCCGGTCAGCACGGGGGACCAATGCAGGGAGGCAGGCGGGTTAGGCCCATCCTAACCCAGCCTCCAGGGCCCTGAGCAACCTGTCAAGTGTTCAGGAAGTAAGTACAATTTAACAAGAGAGTTGGTTTTAGGGGGCAGGACAGCCTCCGGTGGCCGCCAGGCAGCCCGTTCACCCAGTGGGATGAGCTGGCCGGGCCCAGTGGGAAGGCGCAGCTCCAAGAGAAGCGGGGTGATTGTGGGTCCTGACCTGTGAAGACACAGCGAATAAAACATCTATAAAAATTTTATTAAACACAGCGCACGCTGCCAGCGGCCTCGGYGGCTGTGGGGCTCACGGCGCTTCAGGGACAGCACGTCGAGATAGTCACATTGATTCCCAGGTTCCCATTATCCGCAAAGAGATGTGCGATGGCCGTGTCGAAGACCAGGCAGTCGCTGTTCACAATGGCCGCGGCCACGCCATCGTGGATGGACCGGGGCGTGGCCTCCCAGGTCAGTCTCCGCCGGTTGCCATTCAGCTCCAGCCGGTAGGCGAAGTTCTCGGCCTGCTTRCGGGTGCCAATGAGCAGCACGATGGCGAAGAACTGCTGATGGCCCTCGTACTTCTCCTGCTTCTCCAGCACCAGCATGAAGTGGTGGCCGAAGCAGGACTGCATCATCACCCAGTCCACGGCACCCGGCAGGTTGATGTCCGTGGCCAGGAAGACGATGTCCTCCCCCTGCAGGGTAGTGATGCTCTTGTGGGCGTGCATGAGGTGAGACATCACGGCTTCCAGCGACCCCTGCCACTTGCAGGAAGCTCCGGGACACGGGCAGGAGTAGGGTCGGTATTCACAGATGTCCTCGTGTTCCGGTTTCTCTGTGTGGTGCAGGGTCAGGGAGCAGCCCGTGGTGGCATACTGCAGAGACGGAGAGAAGCACACAGGTCACCACACCTTCTTCAGCATCTGCTGGCACAACCCCCTGAGCCCTTGCCCCACTCGGGCTTCCTGCCTTGCCTGCGCTCCTGTCTCGACTGCGGGGTTGGTATGAGTGCATACAGGAGGCCACAGACTCGGTTCCCACATGTCACCAACAGTGTCAAGCACGGGGGCCTTTCCTGAGCCAGGAATGTCCTGCTCCCCAGGCCTACCCCCATTCCAATGCTGCTAAAAGATGAGAATTAATGTTCTTTTACTACAGTAAACACATTGAGAAGCCAACCTGGCTTTCCCTTTATTGTGTATGAATCTGTTGTTTGTTTTTATATTAAGGATTGAGCCTGGGGGTGATTAACCACTGAGCCCCAGCCCCAGCCCTTTTATTATTTACTGAGAGACAGGGTCTCGTGACGTTGCGTAGGACCCCACTAAGGTGCTGAGGCTGGAATTGAACTTGTGATCGTCCTGCCTCAGCCTCCTGCTCTGCTGGGATCACAGGGCGCCACTGTGCCAGGCTTCCCCCCACCCCCACCCCACCGAGATTGCTTTGGCCCCGGGGAGCATTGGCATTAGACTAGTTTTCACATAATGACACATTATTTCTGTGACTCCCTCTATCCCTTCCTGGCTTGAACTGGTGACTGGCAGGTGGGTGGTGCAGAAGGCTGCCCTCTGGGCACTGCAGGCCTGACCAGGCTAGGGCAGAGGAAGGCGGAGACCCTCCACACCTCGGCTTCCTATCTGCACCCTTCCCCAGGGCACTCTGTCCCTTCTCTTTGGGTGGAAAGAAAGCCCAGCTGAGCGCTCCTTGGATATCGCAGAAGACGGCTCATTGCAGGGTCCCAGCCGGGGCGGCCCACTGCCCAGCCTGCCTGCCCAGGGCCAAGGGCCCTCGTCTCTACGAGGAGCAGGGCAGCACCCGCAACAGGCCCTGGGAGTGGGGATCGAGGAGCTGACTGTCACTGCTGTCCTGGGACCTCACAGGGTGGAACGAGAGCGACTCTTCCCTCATACTCAGGTGACATTTCTAGGAGATAAGTCACTCCATCCTAGGAAGACCTCCCTGAAGGGAATTAGACTTCTGCTCCCAACCTTCCCAGGAACGACGAAGCAACTCCTAGACACCAGAGGAGAGTCAGCCTGCAAGAGACACTGCAGAGGACTGTCCTGTTGTCACACAAGAAAGAAGAAGCCAGAGACACCCTGCAGGTGAGCCCAGGGSCTGGCCTCAGACCTCGGGGTAGAGCGCAGGTGAAGGTGAGGAGCCTGGCTGCTGCCCAGGGACACACTCACGRGGATGCGACGGCCAGCGCCAAGCAGGGGCAGAGCCATCTTCTAAGATGCCGTGTCTGATTGCTCACAGAACAGCACCCTCCTGTGTCAGCCTCTCCCTACCCCGCGTTACGAAGTGGCCCCTTACAAACTGGGAGTAAGTCAAATTCAAAGCTTTGTGGTTTGAACGTTGTCACCAGAAAACAAGGAGGTTCTGAACCCTGTCTCTGTGCAGGAGGCCAAGCTATAACCCCCCGAGAGGGCAGGCGCGAAGCCCACAGTCCCACTGCTGGGTGTCCAGTCTACTCAACCTGCAAAGAGGATTCCAGAAGACAGCCGGCTCCTTCTGCCCACCACTACCTCCCCATTACCTCACACAGATTATAGCCTTCAACAGGGACCGGCAGAAAGAACCCGCTGTTACCCGCTTTGCTGATAAGGGTCTGCTTGTTCATGTTTTGGAACCATGAATTAATTTTAAAAGCCTGGATATAAATTAAAAAAAAAAAAACCAGAAGGAGAAACAAATTTACCCATGTATATTTACACACTGTGTTACTAACTTTGTAAAGCTCAAAAAAACAAAGTCCCTGTTAACTGTGTTTTTGAACCTGGGGCGCGGCTGGGAGTCCAGGGTTCTCGGATGTCCCAGTGTAAGTGGCGGGCAAGGCCCTTCTGTCCAGAGCCTGGCGTGGCTCAGGTTGAAAAAGGCCCTCGGTATTTGGATGCAAAGACGTGTCAGCATGGGCTGTTGACCACAGATGCCCAGGAATAACCCAGGAGTGAGAGGGACTCTGCCGGGGGCACCCAGATATTCCCCCAGGCCTCTCCCACTCCACGTTAGGGTCTCACCATTTGCTACAGATATTGACCCCTGGTGATGGTTTCCCCACCCAAGCAGGAGTATTTACATTCYGAATTATGGTTTTGCCTTAAAAGTTGCACATTCAACTATTCTTTGAACCCAAATATAGAGAGCAGGGGACCTCCCCTAATGACACAAATAGAGAAAGCATTACCTTGCATTTRTGAGGACAATGACCCTATGAAAAAAGACCTTGCTACAGCGCTCTTCTCTTAGACAAACATACTTCTAAAGGCCTGTGCTTACTCTGCTTTTTCTAAACAAGCAGACCTTTAATCCATTTCTCCTCTCCATGGGGGTGGGGAGGGCGTGTCTCAGGACCTCCGGGGCCACTTTAATGACAACTGGATTAGAGCTGTTGTCTCAAAGGGAAGCCCTAACCTGTACACTCACACCAGCCACGTTTCTGACTGAGGCTTGGAGCCATGCTGGAACCCAGCCTAGAGCATGCCGGATCCTCTCCACCAGGGCGCCCACCATCATAGAGGAGTTGAGGGGCCTGTGGATTCTCCCAGACTGCATGTAAAACTGCCTAGGTGCCTCTGAGCAGTCAGCCCAAATCCCCTGGGGCCCTGGCCTGGGGTTTGTGTTTTCTTGAAAAGCTTCAAGGATTTCTGAGGGTTGCCAGGGCTCTGAACTTCTATGGCATGCAGTGGGAATAAGCTGTGGATCCTCCAATAGTGTCTTTCCAGTAGGAAAGGACCATATGCTGCAAGAATAAAGAATTCAAATACAGTTGTCCCCCTTTATCTGTAGTTTTGCTTTCTGTGGTTTTGTTACTTGCAGTCAGTTGTCCAAAATTATTAAATGGAAAAGTTCCAGAAATATACAACTCATAAGTTTAAATTGTGCACATTTCTGAGCAGCATAATGAAATACAGCATGATCATGCCATCATTCAGGGTATCCATGCTGTATATACTATCCGCCCAACACTGTCAGGCTTAGTGATCCAGGATCACTTGAAGCAGATAATCTTCCTCCTGATGTATTTTCAGAAGATCAAAAGTAGCCTAATGGGGTTGGGGTTGTGGCTCAGCGGTAGCACATGTGAGGACCTGGGTTTGATCCTCAGCACCACATAAAAATAAATAAATAAAATAAATGCATTGTGTCCAACTATAACTAAAAAAATAAATATTAAAAAAAAACAGCCTAATGTAAAGTCACAACCTCTCTGCCATTCACCTCACTTTATCTAAAGTACTATATCATCTGACATCACTACAAGAAGGGTGAGAACAGCATAGTAGGCTACATTCACATATTTTTGACAGTATATTGCTGTAACTGTTCTATTTGATATTTAGTTATCAATCTTCCACTATACCTAATTGATAATTGAATTTTATTATGGGTATGTATATATAGGATAAGACAGAAGTGCTGAACCCTCATGATACTGCCTCCCTGGCCTCCCCTAGGGGTGTGGGACGTGTTCCWAGAGGATAAGCAGGGAAAGATAGTAAGTACATCACAAATACTGTCCAATACAGGAAGACTGAGCAGCGCAGGCGGCGGGCTATCTCAGGTGGGATGGGGTGAGGAGGGCAGTAAGGAACACGTAGCTGTGGACAAAGAGCATGAAGCGGTTCTACCTATTTCTGGGCAGGGGGAGTGGTAGCTGGGGGACAAAGCTTGAGGCAGATCAGGCTGGACACACAGCTGGTTCATTTAGGTTTTCTCTGCTAGCACCATGGGTGCACTATGGGATGGGRTGGTTTGCAGCATCCCTGGTCTCTATCCATTAGATGTCAGTAGCAACTTCCCTCTGTCCCTCAGCTGTGGCAACCAGGAGTGTCCCCAGGCGTGGCTCTATGTCCCTAGTAGGCAGGCCTGCCCCAGCTGAGAACCACCGATTTCATTGAGAACACTGATCTCTTCTGATGAACAACAACACCTGGCTTCCGAGAAGCCCCCTTCACCGCTTTAGGAGGGGCCCATGCCAGAAACCAGGTTGGGCTGGTCACCACTGACCAACAGGCACCCCAGGGCCCCTGGGGAATGCCAGCCCTGGCTGCAGAGCAGGATTGCTTCCCAAGCAAGGGGGTGGCCAGGGATCAGGTTCTGCCTGTTTTTCAGACTAGACACAGGAGGCTCAAGAATGTGGTCACTTGTGGTTATACAGGGAGCATAGTCCAGCATGCCCACGTTCGTCCAGTGTACCTCCTCCGCACACACCAGCTTGGGAGTCAAAGAAGCAACATTTTGGGAAAAAGGAACAGAACTGATTTGCAAACTGCCTTCACCTTCTGCCCGGACCAGCACACACCCAACCTGGGGCCCACAGATGTGCTGCTCCTGGGACTGCAAGACAGGAACCCTGGGAGCTGCAGGGTGGGAGCCCCAGGCACGCCAGCCTTCTCCTGCATCTGGCAAGAAAGTCCCTCTTCCCTCCCCCATGCTGGCTAGGGCTTGCCCCACCTCATGAGGGGCCAGAGGCCTCCTGCACTTGGGCTCAGGAGGGCTTCCTCTGGGAGCCCGTTCCTCGGTGTGCCTCTTGTTACTAAGAGAAAGTAACTGGGTTGCAGAGGGCTGTGTGTCCTGGGACACATTGCAGCTAGAATGAGCTCTCTCCCTAGGGAACCGGCATTTGTTCCCCTGGGGAAGGGGCTGGTTTTAAGTAAAGCTCCCCCAAAAGAGAAAAAAGAAAAGGAAGAAAAGGAAAATGGATGGGTCAGGAAGGGCGAGAGAGCAAGAAGGAGAGGCTCAAAGAATCAACAAAGCCACTGAACACACACTGTCTCCAGAGACATCCAGGCTGCAGTGACTCCGAGGCCCTGGGCAGTATCCTGCCAGGGAATGGCACTGCATGACCTGGGGCCTCATTTAAGTCTCTTCA